AGCACATGAGTTGGCTGGGTGTTGGTCAGGCTGCTTCACGTTTTGGTGGGTATGTGGGTTGGTTCTAGAGGTGCAAACCATGCAGGGTCAGGCCAAACTCTAGCACATTGGCATGCACAGAAGTCAGGATGGGGTGTAGGCCATGCTGAGCTAGGCTAGACTATCCCGCCTCCTGGTTTGAATGAGAGCCAAGGATGGGAGCAGGGCTAGGCTGCGATGCCCACCAGCCAGAGTTGGGACTGGGGGCAGGCCAAGTCAGGCTGCTGCAGTGACAGCACAGCACAAGTCAAAATAGGTTATAATGGGCTGGATCAGAGCAACCACTGGCACACACAAGATCTTTGGCTTGAGCAGGCCTGATTGGGGAGCTAAGGGCAGGGTTGTGGGTCCCATTAGGAGTATCAGAGCTGGAATGAGGGCAGAGAACTGGGCTGGACATGACTTCAGAATCTCTTGGCACGGATGTGGACTGAGTCTGGGGTGTCCCAGAATACATGAGACTCTAGCACCCAATATGCTTGCAAGAGCCATATAGTATGTGTGAAATAGCTTGGGCTGGGTCTCAGCACCCGTTAAACCAAGCAAGAACTGGGCCTGGGGGTGGACCAGGCAGGGGCTGGGCTGCAACATCCAACAGTAAGAGCCAGAATGGGTGTGGGTTTGTGTGGCAAGGCTGCTGTACCTGCCAGGACAAGAGGTAGACCAAGTCAGACTGGGCCAAGCACCCACTGGTGTGCACGAGGTGTGTGACTGAGACGTAACCTAATAGAGGCGCTTGGGGAGTTCCTCTATCAGGATGTGGTCCCTGCAGCTGAGTGCAAGACCCACGGCTGGGAGCAGAACAGACCAGGCCAGGTTACATTACCTACCAGTATACATTTGGCGCAGGTTTGGGGGGTAGGCCAGGCTATAGCATCTAGCGGTAACTGCCAAAGTTGGGCAAGACATGCCAGATTATGCCGCAGCACCCACCAGCACATATAAGATCCAGGGTGTGTGTGGGGGTGGTGAGCCAGGTAGAGGCTGCAGGGACTTTCCTGCTGGGCCACTGCTCCCACTGGTGAGTGTGAGAGCTGGGACTTGGGGGAACGATCAGGCCAGACAGGGCTAAAAAACTCATTGGCCAGCATGTAGGCTAGGTCAGGGAGGGGTGCAGATAGTTTGGGTTAAGCAACCATATCCACTGGAACATGCATGAACTAGAGTACGTGCAGGCCTAGTCAGGCTTTGCTGCAACATTGGCAAGTGCTAGGAATAGGGGCAAATCCTGTCAAGCTGGAATGCAGAATCACCTGGAAGGCACAAGATCTAGGGCTGAGAGGCATCTCTTGAATGGGCTGCAGCTCCCACCGGTGAGCATGAGAATCAGGGCTGGGGATAGACCTGGCAGGACAGGTGGTGGCACCCACTGGCATGAGTGTCAGCTGGATAGCAGGATTGGTCAGGCTGAGCTAGGCTCTGAAACCCAATGGGAAGCAGGATGAACTGGACCAGTCTGTTGCACATACTGGCATGCACAGGAACCGGGGCTGGGGGTAGGTCTTGTGGGGGAACATGTTATGGGGGTCTCTCTGACTGGGATATGGTTCCTGTTGCTGTGCATGAGGGCTACGTGTGTGGTGGGCAGGGATGGGTTGAATCTCAACATCCATTAATTTGTGTATGACATGGGGCTGGGGACAGAACTGCAAACACCAATGTGTGTAGTCTGATGGAAAGAGCTGGCCTTGACACTGGCTGGCACACACTGGAGTCAGGTGTGGGGTCACCTCAGATGAGGTTTCTTTGGGGAACCCCCAGCTGGATCACTGGACTCAGAACTCCAATCGCAGGGAAAATCACAGGATCTCCACATGACTGTGGAGAGTACACGTGGCAGAACTGGGTCTTCCCAGCTGCTGAGGCCTGTGCAGCGAATAACATGCCCAGATGCTCATGTAGGACATGGCATCGCTTACTGAGGCCCGCGGAGGACATCTAGTACCATGGAGGGCAGATCAAATTGGACAGCTTTCCCTGCCAAGCTCTGACAGCAAGTATCTGGGAAAATGGAGACTCTAAGGGTGGACTATTCAGCCAGTAGACCTTGGAAGTTTCCTCAACTTTGGAGCAATGAAATCAACAGCATCTTAGAACTACTAAAACCACTTAAGCAGTATTTTCGGAACACGCTCCACATCAGGGACCCTGGGATGACATTGGGAGCCATCGCCCATCCCTGGGTGCTGTTGCATTTGGGCTGCTAGGCGCGGCCTTCTCCCCATTTTTCCCAGAAGCAGGCAGAAAAAAGGAGACTGGAAGCAGTTGTCTCATCCACTTTCCCCATTCCTCAACCCTCGTCAACCTAATCGGTGGTTCGCGTGGGCATGCATCCTTCTTAATTATGTAAACATCATCAAAAGTAAATTTATTATTATGAAAAAAGAAATAATAATAATGTGTGTAAATTCAAAATCAGGCAAAACAAAGCAATATACTGGATAGAGATACACAGTTGGGAAAATTATGGCGTAAAGGAAGTAAACAAATCCCAAACCAGAGTGAGTGCTTTAGAGGGCAACACAGAGGGGCATGTCAGGGCCGGCGACTCCCAGCCTCATCTGGGTGAGCGGGGCACTGGTCTGCTGCGTTGTTCTCTAACTCACACAACTGCATATCACACACTTTTCTGTATTTGACATTTTTTTTTTCTACTTATCCAAAAATTGTTTTCATTTTTTTTGGTTATAATGTTACATAGTTGATGAGGGTACAAAGGGTCAAGGGCTACAGGAAAGTGGGTAAGATCATTGTTTTCACACTAATAGCATCATTTTCCCCCCTGTATCTGGGGTCAGGGGAGAAACAAAAGGAGAAGCCCCACCCAGCTGCCCACCCATTCCAGGTCCCCGATGTGGGCCATGCTCAAGCAGTTTTGATAGTTCATCAGTTCTAAATTGCTGCCAATCTCACCACTCCAATCACGATGAAATCTATTCAGAATTCACTAGCTGACACAGTCTCTTCATGGTTGGACTTCTGAGATTAGCAGTTCAGTTGGAGGGATCCCAGAGAAAACTTTATCTGAGGTGATCCCAGACCTGATTCTTGTGTGTGCTTGCCAGTATAGGGTCCAGCACCGTTCGTCGCCCCAATCAGCTTATGCACATGCTGGTGGTTGCAATTGCTGGGTCAGTTCTGTTTCCAGCCCTGTCTTTCACACGAACCAATGGGTGTTGCAGTCCAGCCTGATCCTGCCCACTTCATACTCAGCCCTCACACAAACCAGAGGGAGCTGAAGCCTAGTTGGGGCAACTCCCCATAACCCCCACCAGACCTGCCCCCTACCCTGGTTCCCATGCTTGCCAGTACGTACCTCAGGCTTGTTCAGTCTGTCCCACATCCCATTTAGCTCTCATATATGTCAATGGGCATTAAAGCCTAGTTCAACCCAACCAACCCTACTATTCAGCCCACACGATTACTGGCAGGTGCCTTTCTGTCTAGCCACCCATGCCCATCCTGGTTTTCATGCTCTCCAGTGGGAATGGTAACTCAAGAGGGAAGTGCCCACTATTTCCCTCCCAGGCCACTCCCACTCCCGGATTATGCACTCTCCAGGTGATTCTGCGGTTTAACTTGACAGATTTAGCTTCCAATGCCAGCCTCTGCCAGCTGATGCTGTGGCAGAGCCCAACAAACCTTCACCCACTCTAATTTTTGCTTACACCAGTCAGAACAGTCAGCCCAACCTGGCTTTTCCCTGATCTAGCTCACCTGAGGCCCACAGGTATTGTAGTCCTGCCTGGTCTGGTCTGCCCCCATCCCAACTCACACTCTGTAGTGGGAGTGGTTGTCCAACAGGGGAGCCCACATTCTCCCTGCTGGCTTTGCCCCCTCCTCCTCTGGTTCTCACATGTGCTGTTTGGGCACTGTGGCCACATCTGGTACAGCTCACCTCACTGTGGCATTGTGTAATGTGCACTGGTTTTTGTTGCAACTGAACCTGGCCCAACCCACACTCTATTCTGGTGCTTGGATTCGCCAGTGGGTGATGTAAACTGGTTCAACCTAGTCTGCTCGCCTCACCTATGCCACATGCATGCCAGTGCGTATCTTCCTCTGGCCTGGTCTGGGTTGCTCCCTATCATGGTTCTTGTGCTCACCTGCCAGGTCTGTGTCCCAACAGAGCAGTTTCCCAAGCTCCTCCATCAGAACCTCTCCCTATGCCTGATCTTGAGCATACTGGTGGGTCCAAGGGTCTTGCTGGCCTTCAATCCATTCTGGTTCTTACTGTTGGATGTTTCAGCCCAGCCAAGGATTGTCCATACCCAGACACTGCTCACACATGGCTCAATAGGGGCAGAGACCTAGCCTAGTCCGTCCTACATCTAGCCAGGTTCTCCAGAGCACCAGATGGTGCTGGTGTCTAGCCTGGTTAGGTGTGCCCTTGTGACAGGGGAGATTGCAGCCACATCCAGACGAGAATGCAGCCCCCACTATGGCCCCCGCACTCATTAGTGGGAACCCCAACCCAGCTAGAGTATACTCTCACAGTTCCCCAACTGAGCCTATTCCCAGCCCTAGATTACGTGTGTGCCAGTGGTTGCTTTGACCCAACTGACTTTGCCCCTCACCTGTCTCAGCCTTTGCCTTCAACACTGTGGTCTAGTATCCCTGGCTCATGCAGTCGGTGTACGAGCCTAGTTCCGCATGACCTGTGCTCCATCCTGAATTCTGTTCTTCCTTGTGAGTTGAGGTTTGCTTGGCCCTGCCCGGTCTGCCCCCTTTCGGTTGCAGCTCGGCCCACCCACATCCTATTTTAGGATACACTTTTGGGTCCTGCTGCCTTGACCTGCCCAGACTATTGTCGGTTCCTTTACCTGTAAGTGATGGCAGGTGCCATGGTCACACCTAGCTCAGCCCATCACCACCCCAGCTCGCGAGCTAACCAGCGCAACTTGTATTTCCACAGGGTTGGGGACACTTTTCAATAGAAACAAAGTGATGCCTTTAGCTTCTGATAATAAAATACTTTATTGGTACCATTTCATGTCAAAAACAGCATATTTCCACTGCTTAGCTTCTATTTTTAAATTAAAAGCTAGTTTTAAAAAAAAACCAGCAATAAAGGTAAAATTATGATTGTCTTAAAAAACAATCTGTAACTTACCTTTGCAAATAGTTATGTTCTCTCACTTTAAACACCGTATTTTACCAGTCTTTGGGATAAATAATTGTGTATTAAAGAAGACCACAGTCTGAATTGTTTGCAGACAATACTTTACGTATCTTTTAAAAAATACCTAAATGCTGATCCAGCTGAAACTTTGAAAGAGTAATTAGTTACGAGTTATTGTGAGACTGAATTCATGTAGCACCGGGAGATTGAGAATTTTTAATGTTTCAGATATGACTGAGCAAAAGGAGTGATGATTTTTTTTCCTGTGTGAATTTCCTTAGGGGTTTATATACAGACAATTGGTCCTTTTTAAAAGGCAAAGGTTCAAAAGTGCATGCACGCTTTGCACCTTGGGTCTATTTCTGGGTCAAGTGACTGACCCAACAGGGAAAGACCCAGGAGCGACGAATGCCATGAGTCCTAAGTGAGTCTATGTTTATTCACCTTGTCTCAGTACATTTTACACCCCAGCTAAAACAATATTCTATCTGTAAGTTATGTATGTATTGCTCTAAAATGGTCTGTAATTCAGATTGCTCTACAGCCTACATTCTCCTGTTTCTGAAATCAGACTTGTTCGTGGTATCTCACTGCACTGTTTTCCTCTTCTTGGTGAAATTCTTCCAACTCTACAGTTAAAATAAAGGATAATAAATATACGTGGATCCATGCTAAGTGAGACACAAAAGAGCAAGAAGAGAAAACCACACTATAGTGTGTAGTCCAAGCCCCTGGGACAGTCCTGGTGCAGCCCGCTCACATAACCTGATGCTCAGAGACACAGCTAATATCCTGCACTCCACCAGAATTAAATGCTGTTACAATGTTTGTTCAAGAACAGTTACTACAACTGTGACATTAGCCTTAAACATGACATCATACTTGGGTATCTAATTAAGTCACAGTGTACAACCCATTTTCCATCACTAACCATTTGCTTAAAAAGACACATTCAGGGTTTAGATTTCTGCTTTCCCTTGATTGGTTGGTTGGGGATGTACTTGTGTCACTGGATTGCCCTCCGCTTCGAGGCAGAAGCATTGTTCAGGCGGTCAAGCCGATGAGCTCAGTGGCTGTCGGGAAGGTACCGGTTCACGTGCTCGGCATGCCTGCCCGGGGAGGTGTGGCGCCTGACCCGCCAGCAGCCCCACACATTTCACCCCGCCACCCGCGGGCCATCAGGCCGACACGAAAAAACCCACAGGCCATCGGCACTCACTCACAGCTACTTCAGGGACGGGCACGGGGTCTCACTGATCAGGGATCCCACGGTGCAGCTTCCTCAGAGAAGAGCGCCTTTATAACCAAGCATCTCTTCTCACACCAGGCTGAAATGCTGAAGTAATGTCAGAGAGGATATGAAAAAACAAACGTGTCTTCTCTGAAAGAGGCACTGCATCTGGAGTTGGCATTAAGGCTACATCGACGGCGCTGGCTTGTGGCGGCAGACCGCGCGTTGCTAACCGGCGGCCTCACTGTTCGTCCTGTATGCCTGCTTGTGGAGGTGCGTCTCTATCTCCTCCCTGAAGACCAGCATCCCCAGGTGGGAGTGCGAGGCCTCGTTCATGGCCTTGGACTGGATGCACATGCGGTACTGCTCGGGGGTGAGCTCGTCGGCACAGCGCTTCTCGTGCCAAAGGTGGAAAAGGCCGGGCACGGGGGTCCGAATAACCATCAGGTCACTGTGTAAGTATTTCCGGTAAAGATGAACGTCTTCTCCACCCCAACCTTTTACTTCCATGTCAAATTCACCTGCAGGGACAAAATAAGCACGCTAAGCAACTGCCAGATGCCCGCAGCACCTGCAAGCATCGTAGACACAGATGCTGGCCTTCAGATGAGATGGCGTGGTGCAGCCTTAAGCCACCAACGTCCTGCTTCCTGGTCTGCCAGTCCAGTCACCCGCTGCCATGAGGGCCCAGGAGTGCAAGGCCAGTTGTGCGGAGTATCAAAAGGAGGTCAAATATTTGACAACATTCTGGAAACTTCCAAGAGCTACAAGAAAATCGTGGCGAGTCAAACAGAGAAACATGGTGGCGAGTCAAACGAAGAAACACGACATATAAATCTACCATAATCTCCTCTATTTTGAGACACATTTTTTTTTTGGCTTACAGAAAACTTTTCAGAAGGGGAGTCGGAAGCAAAAAAACCAAGCTGGGGCTAAAAATGTGAAAGTCAAGTGCTGAGTAATTTTAAAGCTATGAGAATAAATCAAACTCCTGGAGGAGTTTGGAAGAAAAACAAAGGGCCAATATTAAGGCTCAGTGAGTTAAACCTCTGCCTGCCAGGTCAGGGTCCCCTACTGCAGCACTGGGTCAAGTTCTGGCTGCTCCTTTTCCGATCCAGCTCCCTGCCAATGTGTCTGGGAAAGTAGCAGAAGGCCCCCCCAAGTATTTGGGTTCCTGGTTTCAGCCTGGTCCAACCCAGGCTGCAGTGGCTATCTGGTTAGTCCACTAGCTGATGCAGGATCTCTCTGTGTCAAATGTATATATTTTATATATATGGAAAATAAGGCCTGGATCTAAACAGTAAGAAATGACAATTTCCGGAAGTTAAACAGACACAGAGAAAGGCAAGTTAGTTCAAGAGAATGATGACTCCAGACAAGGGAGAAAATTCTGGAGCATGTACCATCACCAAGTGAAGACAGTGTCTTGCAGGAGCTGGCACGCATGTGCCACTAAGAAGCTAAAAAGAAGCAAATAAATGAACAAAAAAAAAACAAATGGAACCGACAGAAAAAAATGTTACTTATAACCTTACCTAGAACAGTTCTGACTGAGTGATGAGGCAGAAAGCTAACCAGAGTGGAATGACACATGAAATGGAGACGCTTCAGGTGAACGACCACATAAAGGAGCGTGGAGGGGCTGGTGCTGCGGCACCAAGCTGCCACCTGTGAGCCTGGCATCCCCCACGGGTGCAACTGCAAGTCTCAGATGCTCTACCGCCCTGCTAAAGCACCAGGGAACATTGGTAGGAAGTGAGAAACTAGTCTCTTGGTGTGTGTGTGTGTGTGTGTGTGTGTGTGTGTGTGTGTTGAGAAACAGAGAGGGAGAAGGGGAGGGAGCGGGGGTGGGGTGGGGGAAGAGAGAGACAGAGAGAGATATGGAGGAAAGTCAAGGCCCTGTGGGAAGGAATGAGGCAGTCCAGAGCAGCCAGCAGAACACCTTGGAGGCAGCCCAGGAGTTGACACGCACAGTCCTGTCGGTTCCTTGATCACTTCGAAGGTGATCCCAGCCTTCCCCCAAAGGTGGCACCCTCTCTGCCCAGCGCCAGGTGCGCTACCCAGTCTGATAAGACCAGACAACAAACCCTTGGGAGGAATTTCAACTCTCTCAGATCCAGCAAGCCTTCTGTCCAGGAGAAGAGGGTGGGCGGAAGGAGAGCTGGTGGGAAGCACTGCACCTCATTCCCTTACGGTGGTGGTCTCTCCTGGGATGCCCACCTGGCCTGCGAGGTGTTTTTCTCTCGGCTCAGCTCCGTCCTGCCAGGCGTATCCTGTCCAGGAAACTCTGGGACCCAGTCTGACTCGCTGGGCCCTGAGTCCATCCGGGGAGGTGCCCATCCAATCTGACGGGTGCGCTACTCCATAAGCCTGGCGATCTTGCTTACCAACACTGTCTCATGTCAGAATTCTTTCTTGAGGTCTTGAAGACAGCGACCTCTCTTCCAGCCATCTCCTTGAGGAACATACAGCAGAGGATGCCCCAAATGCTAGGGTCCCTGCCACTCCATGGGAGACCCAGATGGAATTCCCAATTCCCTGCTTCAACCTGGCCCAGCTCTGGCTATTGTGGCCAGGCGAGGAGTGAACCAGCCTTCTCTAATACTGCCTTTCATTTCACTTAACAAATCATTATTTTTGAAAGATTTACTTCATTTTTATTGCAAAGTCGGATACACAGAGAGGAGGAGAGACAGAGAAGAAGATCTTCCGTCTGTTGATTCACTCCCCAAGTGCAACGGCTGCAATGGCTGGAGCTGCGCTGATCTGAAGTCAGGAGCCCAGAGCCTCTTCTGGGTCTCCCACACGGGTGCAGGGTCCCAGGGCTTGGGGCCGTCCCTGACTGCTTTCCCAGGCTACAAGCAGGGAGCTGGACGGGAAGTGGGGCTGCCGGGATTAGAACCAGTGACCATATGGGATCCGGTGTGTACAAGGCCAGGCCCTTAACCAATTACTTTATAAAAGCAGCATGGGAGAACACAAGGCATTTGTGGTGTTTCCGCTAAGCTTCCAAACTGCATCTCTTCTTAAATAATTCTGTCCCTTTTAATTTCACATTCACGATGATCTGAGAGCCTATAAGCACTACTCTGAACAGCACAGCCTTAGTAAATTCCCTGCTACATCTCAGTTTTTCTTCCTTGGAGACACAAGTAAGCGCTTTAAACACGCCGTGCCCGCACTTCACACCAGCGAAGGACTCTGGGTTTGTTACTCCAGTGTCTAACACCGGAACGTGATCACTCCATTCCAACAAGATAAAGACCTGAAGCACTGAAAAAAATCAACAAATGTTACTCAGGGAAGTGAGACTGCAGGGCCAAGCACTGCTCCCTGACCTGGAGGGACAGGCGGGTACCATCACCAGCGGCGGGAGCATGCTCCCCGACCTGGAGAGACAGGCGGGTACCAACACCAGCCGGGTACCATCACCAGCTGCGGGAGCATGCTCGGGGGAGCGTGAGTTTCAGCTGGCCAACTGTTCGGGACTCAGGTGAGGGTGATGTTGGGGAACTGGGGGAGCCCCATCTCTGGGAGCTCTGCGGGTTCTGGTGCTGAGTATTTGAGATGAACCCCAAATGCTTCTGGCAGGAGGACATGGGAGGGGAGACCATTCTGAAGCACACCCGTGAACTCTACTGAAGGTCTGCCCTCAGAGAGGCTATGGAGCCGGAGCCTCGCCCGTGTGAGTTGTACCAAAGCCTTGATGCCCAGAGGAAAGGAAAAGAACCCAGCCCAAGCCCCTCTGGCCATTGTGGCTTGGAGGAGGGCGGAGAACCTAACCACAGGGAGAGGGCTTACTGCCCCCACCTCATCACAGCAGGTGTTATGACTCTAGTTCCTTTTGGCTGGACAATCAAGTCCAGCTTTCAACAAAATGATGATAAGGCACAGTAAAATGTAAAAATTCGAAAGTGTCTGACAGCACAGAACACACACTTGACCAGATTCAGGTGTGGCAAGTATGCTGCAAGTACTAGGCAAGGAATTTAAGACAAACATGACTGACGCGCTAAGAATTCTAACGTTATAAAGTAGATAGCGGGCAAGCTGGGTGATAAAAGTAGAGAAATGAGGTATTGCAAGCAATAAAAAAAGGAATCCCAGAGTTTAAAAAAAGCCCACTGAAATAAAAATGCATCATTTTTTTCCCCCATGGACTCATGAGTGGAGTGGACTTGGCTGAAGAAACAATCTCTGATATGATAACCTTGGGCATATGGCAATAGAAACTTCCCCAAAACTGGAAAGCAAACAGAAGGGAGACGGAAACAAAGGGAACAGATGATGCAAGGACGGTGGGGTGAAAGCTGTGACTCATGAGAGCGCTGAGCAGGGAAGGAGTGGAGGCTGTCCTCCGAGCGTGGCGGCTGGGAAGCCCTGGGCCCTCACCCTTCTCTCTCGCTCCCCGTTACTCCGAGTAACACCGAGGAGTGTTCCCGGGAAAGAGGAAGTCTCCTAGGGCAAGCAGCCCCAGAGCCCCACTCACAGGGCCCCACGCCATCGGAAACAGAGGGCAGAGGAACTGAACGCGCAGACAGCTCCCCATGAAGAGGACCTGTGTTTCTCGTTGCTGTGACAGAAGCCCTGGCCCTGTCTGCCTGTGAGAGGAGGTTTACTACCATCCAGGACTCAAGGGCTGTAGGCTTCTGCTGAGGCCAGAGGATGGCAGGGTGGGCTGTGTGCAGAGGAGCAATGGCATGGCAAGCCAGGGGCAGAGAGACTGGCCAGGTCTTACACAGCCTAGACAGGAATTCAGAACTTCCTTCCCAGGGTAGGCCCTACCGACCGAGGTCCCCCTCCTAAGCAGTGGACGCGTGGATTAAGTTCACATCCTCTCAGTAGCATCAGCATCTTCTGACTCCGGAGGCAGAGAGACAGCCACAGAATTCACATTTACCCACCTACGGAGTGAGAACTTTCCCACCTACTGGTCCACTCCCCTAGTGCTTCAAAAGGCTGGGGGTCGGGGGCCAAGAGGAAGCTGCAGTGAGGAACCGAATCCAGGTCTCCCACGTGGGTGGCAGGGATTCAAACTACATGAGCCATCAGCACTGCCGATTAGCAGGAAGCTGGGGGTCCAGCCCAGGCCCCCCGGAGTGGGACATGGGGACAGGAACTGGGTCTTTAAATATCAGGCTCCATGCCCACTCTTAGCACCGTTAACTTACGACTTTGGGGTGTTAGGCATTAGAGGAGCCACGTTTTACTGAAACCACGGCAGCACCTTTGAAAACGGTGCAGACTGTTAGTGGGAAGTTACACCACTTAGCACAAGAGGAAGTGAGGCAGCCTTCTTTCAAAGGCAGCAAGTTAAAGTGTAGGCCAGCCAGCTGGTTTACCAGGGAGAGACAAAGGTAAGAGTCTCCTAAAAATCCTTCCTGGGGTCTGAACAAAGCTGAAAAACTGCTGTAACAGCGCCCGATTTAATTGGGTCCGACTGGGGAACCCTTTGTGCCTTACAGCGTTATCAAAAAGAAGACAGTAGTTAGCGTGCAGCCAGTGGAGCTTGACTGCTGGGAGCAGCAACAGCAGCGCACTGGGAGCGGCAGCCCTGCCAGATCCAGCGCCGACCCAGGCCCTGGGCAGCCCCATCACAAGGCCCCTGCTGCCGGAGGAGCCACAGGGCCGGCGCTGGGGCACAGCACAGTAACCCTCTACCTGCAATGCTGGCATCTGAAGTGCTTCGGCCCCTGCACCCACGTGGGAGACCTGGAAGAAGCTCCTGGTTCCCGGCTTTGGACCAGCCCAGCCTCTGCTCGTTATTGCCGTTTGTGGAGTTAACCAGCAGATGGAAGATCTCTCTAACTCTTTCAAATATTTTTTTTTTTTTTTTTTTTTTTTTACCCCTTAAAGAAATTACGACACATGCAGAGAAACAGGAAGATGTAAACAAAAAAGAGGCGGCAACAAACGCCTGTGATAGAGCTCGGGGCTTGGCCTTGACCATTACACAGCAGTCATCATGAACGTTCAAAGAATTAGTGGAAATCATTATTGTACCTATCCATCAACGTAATATGAGCACCGGAAGAAGAAGATGAAAGAGACGAGAAAAAGGACGCATAAAAACATCACTGAGGCGTCCCAAGTGTGATGAAGATATTAATGCGCAAATTCCAAGAAACTTAACAAATCCAGGAATGGGCAAAGGATCTGAACAGACAGCTAACCAAGGAAGATGCGTGAACGGCCAATGATTACATGGAAAGTCACGAGATTCCACAGCGTGTCCGCAGTAACGGCTGGCCACCAAGATGTGCGGGAATTACGCCTCTCGCACGCTGCCAGCGGGGGCGCAGGCTGACGCAGGCACTTGGGAGGGCACAGTGGCGGTGCCTCCTCAGGCTAAACCGCAGATGTTCTAGCGGAAGTATTCGCAACAGCCAAAAAGCAGAACAGACCTAAACGTGTTAGCAACTGGCAGATAAACAAAATATGGTGTAAGCATACCAGGTGACATTGTTCAGATATAAAACGGAATGAACTGCCTCATATAATATGATGAACCTTGAAAACATTATGCCGAGTGAAAGAAGCCAGTTGTAAGTGAACACGGATTGTACAATTCCATGTAAACTAAATGCCCACAACAGGCAGGCGGTAGGTTAGAGAAGAGGAGCCGGGGGACTGGTGTGACATGGCAAGTGACTGCTAATGGATATGTCTGTGGTTGATGGCTGCAAAACTCAGTATTTAAACCAGTAACTTTAATATATTAGTTATAACTTAATAAAGCTGTTTTATAAAGAGGCAAAGGGGGGCCCCACGCGATAGCCTAGTGGTTAAGATCCTTGCCTTGCATGTGCCGGGATTTCATATGGGTGCCAGCTCTAATCCCGGCAGCTCCACTTCCTGTCCAGCTCCCTGCTTGTGGCCTGGGAAAGCAGTCAAGGATGGCCCAAAGCCTTGGGACCCTGCACCCGTGCGGGAAGTTCCTGGCTCCTGGCTTTGGATTGGTTCAGCACTGGCCTGTTGCGGCCACTTGGGGAGTGAATCATCGGATGGAAGATCTTCCTCTCTGTCTCTGTTCCTCCCTGTCTCCTCTCTGTGTATCTGATTTTCCAATAAAAAAAAAATAAATCTTTAAAAAAAAAAAGGAAAGGGGCTGGCATATTGAAAAAAATACATAAAAATGTGCTTTTCAGGGATAATGAATGCTTACTATTTTATTAAGCAAGTTGTCAGGAAAAAGGGCATTCATTTCATTTAATAGCTTTTTATTGTTATTTGTTTAATTTCCATTATTTATGTGTTAACAACTGCAAAGAGACAGAGTCGAGAGACTTTCAGAACAAATGGCTGATTATCCAACTGCATGTGCTATGGACCTCGGATGTACATGAGTTACATTCTACGACTGCCATGCTGTGGACAGGGAGCTACTGAAATGAGTCAGGAGACACAGAACTCGGTTTCAGCTACTTTATTAATCTGCTCTCTGAGCCCTGATTTTCCCCCTGGGCAGGACTGAAGCCGGGCGGGCCAAAGAACTGGACTGTAAGATGGGTAACCTCCGGGCAAGCCAACGGCTCCAGGTCTCCAACTCCAACTTCAACGGGAGCTAGAAAGGGCAGTCTTTTTATTTTTCTGTCTGTCTGAAATACTGTGACTCTGCATAACAATGCAGTGACAATCAAGGGTGTGCCATCATCTCAAAAAAGAAAAGGAAAGGAAAGAGAATGCCCCTTAGACAGTCTGAATGTGACAGCACCCAACAACCGCAAAAATAAGTAAAGCAGCTACGGAACCAGTCAAGGCTGAACTTTTACCTTTATGCCTTCATTTCTGCTAAGAATACACACTTTTACTCACTACATCTCTAGATTCATAATCTAAAAACAAAATATTGAAACCTGAGACCTTGTACAAAAAATTATAAGGCCTATATAATATTATATACACATCGGAAAAGCCCTATCCTTAAATGTAAGATCCACTTACCAATGCTCAGGAAATCTGATCGATATTGACAAGTCATTCCAAAGCCAAAATCTCGCCAAAAGCCAGAATCCTTTTTATGTACCTGAAATTAAAAAAAACAAAAATCAATTTATTTTCTTAGGAATCAGAAGTTTAATAAAAAAAACAAAAGATCTTTTTCTTGTTATTTGTAAGAAAAATATTTATTTCTAACACAAATGTGCATTTATGCTATTAAAATCCCTAAAAGCAGGATTACAGCGAGTTTTCGCCAGTTTTAGTCCTACTGAATGCGAGTCCCGTCCAAGCTGCAAGCTGGGGTCAGTGACGCTCAGGGCGATGCTTTCCTGCAAGCAGCCCACTCTCCAGAAGCCGCCAGCTCGGACCTCCACATTCACCACCCTGTCCCTCCTGATGGTGGTCTGTTCTGGTCCTCGCCTGGCCCCACACGGCCCATGAACCACAGGAAGCACCTGTCATCTATAGCTTCAGAGTGGACCACGGCTACTCTCCCAGGGCCTGTCTCAGCCCAGCCGCCCTCAGATACAACACAAGCCGACAAGTACAAAGGGAGGCCTGCTGGAAACTGGAACACAAAGTCAGCTGGTTTTTCTGGGAGCTACTGGGAGAAACACTGGTTCTTGTGAAAGGTCTGGGGTGCAGGGCTCAGTAAAGCACAGCCCAGGACTAAATGTGCTTTTTCCAAGTAATTTTATTGGAACATAGCACGCTCATTTGTTTGGAGAAAACAATCTGGCCAGCAGGTCAGTATGGCTTCCAAAGCCCGAAACACTTCTTAGCTGGTTCTGCACAGAAAAGCTGGCTGGCTCCTGGTATGGGATGCAGACCCGAAGCTCGCACCTCTCAACCCTTTTCTGCTACGAGGGAAATCAGCCTGAACATGAAGCTGTCGGGCAGGTGTTGAGGCACGCTGGGTTAAGCCATTGCTTACGATATTCACATCCTGTACCGGAGGGCCAGTCTCATCCCAGCCACTCTGCTTCCTGCTAATGCATCCTGGGAAGCAGCGTGACAATGGCTCAAGTGCTGGGGCCGCACTTCCCCACACGAGACCCCTGGATGGACTTTCAAGCTCCTGGCTTTGGTCTGACCGCCCAGCCCTGGTCGGGTGGGAGAGTGAAATCAATGGACAAGACACTGCTCTTTCCCTCTGCCTTTCAAAGTGGATGAAAACACACCAAGAGACATCTTTAAAGAATAAACCCATCACTACTGTGTCCAAGTAGAGAGAGAAATACAAAATCGTAATGCTGACCACACTGAGCCCCCCCAGAATCACTTCTACTTAGAAGCTGTAGTCTGTGAAGTCTGGCACATCTTTCTGTTTTTTTTTTTTTCCTAAAGATTTATTTATTTTTATTGGAAAGTCAGATATACAGAGAGGAGAAGAGACAGAGAGGAGAAGAGACAGAGAGGAAGATCTTCTGTCCGATGATTCACTCCCCAAGTGACCGCGACAGCTGGAACTGAGCCAACCTGAAGCCAGGAGCCAGGAACTTCCTCCAGGTCTCCCACGCGGGTGCAGGGTCCCAAGGCTTTGGGCCATCCTCAACTGCTTTCCCAGGCCACAAGCAGGGAGCTGGATGGGAAGTGGAGCTGCCAGGATTAGAACCGGCGCCCATATGGGATCCCAGTGCGTTCAAGGCAAGGACGCCACCGGGCCCACATCTTTCTTTTATTCGTACTTTGAACAAATGTTTAACCTCGTGGATGTGGTCCATGTAACTGGGACCCAGCAGTGAACACAAGTGACAAAGTCCTCGCCTCACAGAGCCTTCACTGTGGTGACAAAGTAGCAAGTACACATACTTATTAGGCGGTGATACAGTGGGACAGGGCGGAGGGACAGTGTGAGGCAGGAAGGGTCGGAGGAAGAGTAGCTTTGGCTGTAATAGCCATAGGAGCTGCTGTGGCATAGGAGCAAGGGACCTGAGAGACACGCAGGAGGGAGAGGCGGGGAGGTAGCCACCGAGGCCATCACTCCGGGTCACAGGGCAGCACGTGCCACACGTGAGGCAGGCGTGTGCCTGGTGTGTTGGACAAACACCAACGGCCTATGGCAAGGACAGAACAAATGAGGCCTGGCCTTAGCTGAGAAAGGTGTACTTCCTAAACATAAGTGGCCTTACAGCATTTCTGTGTGCCTGATGTGGGTGACTTTCAGGAGGCAGAAACAAGACAGGTGGAAGGCAGACTGACTCAGGGGATCCTGGTGGAGTCGTGAGGGATGAGTCCCAGGTCAGCGAACAGCACGGGCGGTCCTTGTCTGGGGGACAGAAGAGGCTGAGGCAGCACGGCAGACAGACTGGCCCAGGAGAGCAGAACCTGCACCTTGACAGGTGGGGAGAGGGTGCAGTGCTGAGTGGCTGGGAGGTGCAGGAGAGGCTCGGCTTTGGATCCCGAGCCAAGCCAGGACACAGGAAGGAGCAGAGAACAAAGCAAGGGAACGCAGTGCCAAGGGGGTGTGGGAGAGAAGCGAGGGTATGGCCTAGCAGGGGGCTGAGGAGAATCAGAGACGCCTCACCCAGCCTGCTGTTCTGAGGGAGTACTCTTGAGGAAATAAGAGTTGGAATCTTAGACGAGGAATGAGCCACGCGAAAGATGCGCCGGGATGGAGGGCAGACCCAATGGAAGTCTGGGAAAAGGCCTCCCGCGGTGAGAGTATTTTTGGGTGAAGGATGGTGGGTCTGAGGACCTGGCGTCCACAGTGCAGGCCAAGGCTTGGCAAACCTGTCAGAGAAGAGGCCAGGTACGACATGGCTACTGTCATTGATCCAACTCTGCTACTATAGTGTACAAGCAACTTGCTAATGAAAATAATCACAGGAACACTGAAATTTGAACTTCTATGGGCCGTGAAATATTATTCTTTGACAGTACATATATTTTTTTAAAGATTTATTTTACTAGGAAAAGGTTACAGAGAGAGAGAGAGAGACCTTCTATCTGCTGATTCATTCCCCAAATGGCCAAAATGGCCAGAGCCGAGCTAGTCCAAAGCTGGGATCCAGGAGCTTCTTCCAGGTCTCCCATGTTGGGAGCAGGGTCCCAAGGTTGCGGGCCTGCTCCATGGCTTTCCCAGATCGTAAGCAGAGAGCTGGATTGGGAAGTGGAGTAGTTGGGACATGAGCCAGTGCCCCATATGGTATGCCGGCAGGCTGAGGATTAGCCTGCTATGTCACCATGTCGGCCTCCCCAAACATATATTTTTCTGCCATTAACACTGCAATTCATGGGCCACAGGATGTGGAAAAGCAGCCTTGAAGGGGCCACACGGCCACATGGTAGACAACACTGGATCAGGCAGTGTCACTTTATCCTCATGATAATGAGAAGGAGTACTGTGATGTTTCCAGGAGGTGACTCTGGTCGGAGTCTAAAAACAGATTAGAAGAGGCAGGGAGGGATGTGGGGAGTTCAAGCCAGAGTCAACAAGGGATGGGAAGCTGGTGGTGTAGACTGCTGTAGTACATAGAGAAAAGTGGATGGATGCGAGGAAGGCAGAACTGACACAAGGCAGTGAGTGGCTGACATAGGTCAGCTGAGACTGACACAAGGCAGTGAGTGACTCAAGTCAGCAAGCTATTGACACAGGTCGGCGAGTGGCTGGCTCGTCAGTGAGACTGACGTGAGCCAGTGAATGACTGACACAGGGCAGCCAGTGGCCGACTGGGGCCTGAGAAGGATGGCAGCAACCACCAGACCTGAACCACGGGTCTGTGGTGCTGCCTGCTCTCAAGACACAGCCAGGAGAAGGTGAGCCCAGAGAGGAACCATGTGGAGCTTAGGCAGAGCTGTGATGAAATTGAGCAATCTATAGGGAATATGAACTGTGCGAAGAGCAGGGGCAATGGGACAGTACCGCTGTAAAGAATGGAAGAATCGACTGGGAAATAGAGAACAATCGGGTGGCTGAGGGCTGGGCTCAGGCTGGAGATGACAGACCAAGCATGCATTTTCTGTTTGTTCTCCCTTCCCCTCCGGTGGCATGTCTGTTCTTTTAGGATGCAACAACTCCCAGGACTTTTCTGGATTCTGATCACTGCTACAGCCCAGCACTTCAGACAACGCTAGGCACGCAGCAAGCCTTCAGTAAATATTTGCTTGAGTGGGCATGTGGCAGCAGTTAAGATGCCCCTGGAGGTGCTCGAATCCCACATCAGAATGCCCGGTTCTAAGCCCCAATTCTGCTTCTGACTTCAGCTCCTTACTAAGGTTTACCCTGGGCACCAGCTGATGGCTCCTGGGTCTTTCTGCCACCCATATGGGAGAGCCGGTTGAATTCTGGGCTCCAGGTTCTCTCCTGGCCCAGCTTTAGCTGTTGCAGGAATTTAGGGAGTGAACTGCAGCTGGAAGATTGATCTCTATTTGTCTGCCCGTTTCTATTTCTCTGGTCTTCAAATACAAAACAGAAGCAAACATTTCTGGAATGAGTAAATAAATTTATGGGGCAGAACTCTAGTGGCAGACCCATGTCTAGGCTCTAATATCCTTCTTCAAAAAAAATTTTTTTTTTGAGAGGCATAGAGAGAGTGCAAAAAAGAACAGCAAGACACACAGACAAGAGAAGACATCTCCTATTTGCTGCTTAACTCTCCAAATGGCCAGGGGGGTGCCAAAACTGGGAGCTCACCTGTGTGGCAGGCACCAACTGCTTGAGCCTATCAGCTGCTTGCCAGGGTCGGCACAAGGACGTGAGCCTAAGTATCGTCTAGTGGGGTACAGGAACCTCAAATGGTGTCTTAAGCACCAGGCCTGACAACCACCCACAAACTCAGATATGCTTATCTTCTTATTCCAGGTATAACGATGGTACAAAGCACTAAAGCAAATACTCATTTTGACATTCCTATCTCATGCCAACGCTGGCTGCAGTCACTCCTTGCTTTTCCTCGGGCCCTGTGCTCCACTTGACAGCAAGCTCTGCGAGCTCCATCCCCGACCTTCCTCACAATGACCACGCTGCCCAAGCCACCATCGCCTCCCCTCTACTTCAACAGCCGAATGGCCTGTTTTCTGCTGCAGCTCCAGCCAGTCCATCCTCTGCGCACTGAGCCTGGCACTCAACCCCCAGACACAGTCCATGGCCTGTTTTGCGCCCTACGTCCAGCCACTGAGTGCTGGCTCCTTACAAGCCATGGAGCTGCCCCTCCCTGGCCCCTGCCAGCTGGTTCCTTCCTGGCATGTGAATGGCTCCCCTGATGGCTCCATCCCAGGAAGACCTCTCTGGCCAGACACGACATGGAAATCTCCTACTGACTCTTCCTAAGTCAGTTAATGACCCACATGGCATTCATGGGATGACTATTTTGTCTCTTCCTACCAGAATAAAGATCTTTATGGCCCTCACTACGTCGGTAGGGCTCTAGGTTCTAGGGCTGCAGCTGTGAATGGTGCTTGGCACAGAACCGACTCTTGACGGGACATGAGAGTCTATCCGACAGGGTGGCCGGGGCAGCAGACTGGGAGCCCAGGCTGCTCAGGTCCTGAGTCCCACAGAGGGAGCACCCGATGGCAGCACAGTAGTGTCCTTGTCTGTCACAGGGTAACAACGTCACCTCCATCAAAGGCTGTCACGAAAAGCATCTTGTACACAGTAGGAGGCAAACAACATTATTACTCACTGCTGTTTTCAAAATGCCATCTGAGCTGCATCTACATGCGACACTTCCTGTTTTACACCTTCACGTTTCCCTCTGTGTTGGCTGTAGTTATTTGCTTTCACATTCTCTTCCTGATACATACTATTCACCCAGGCAAGCTGGATACGACTTTGGCTTACACGAGGATACGTGTATACTGGATGTAAAGACAAAACTTGAGCAGCTGAGCAATCTCAGAGCCAGTTCCCGGAGGAGGACCACGGACGCCTGCTCCAGAACCCAAGCGGGGCGAGCTGGGTGTGCTCAGAGCTCAGCGCTGCTGGGTGTCTGCTTCCAGGCCCTCAGCTGACAGCGCAAGGCAAAACGCTAGGCATGGCAGGAACAGGCCTTCGATGTCTACATCCCAAACTGTTACTCAGTTTTTTATTATGTATTTCAACAACAACTTCTTACACAGAAGTTTTACTTTTTTTTTTTTTTGTTCACCACCATTTTATTATCAGGTCTTCCTGTCTCTCAGTGTTTCCATGTCTCATTAAGCCAGGCAGAACTCTGAGAGAAGTACACTTTGCGTTCATAACTGCTTAAAAACATTTATCATGTCTTCAAATAGGAGGTCAAATCGGTTGGACTCTAGAATTTTTCAGCCCCCTTATAACCTCTTGGGGCCACTGTGATATGCGGTCCATCACCGACCTAAATAAGCATCATTAAGTAGCACATAATTCCCTTATACAAAGTTTTTGGGAGTGTTGGACAAGGCAGGTGTGGGTACTTGACATGCCACTAAAAAAAAAAATGCTTCTTTACTTGAAAGGAGAAGTGACAGAGAGGAAGACACAGGTATACTCTACCTTCTCTAAACACCAGAAACTTGCAGGGCTGAGCCAGGCTCATGGCTCTACCCCGTGGGTGGCAGGCATCACCTTTCCCGGGTGTACCAGCAGAAAGCTACACTGGAAGGGGAGCAGCCAGAACATAATGCAACTGGCCCAAGCAGTGGCTTAACCACAACACCCACCGCCCAGTTTGCCATTTTGACTGTATCTTATCCATACCATAAATAATACTATGGCTAAGATGGAAGGGAATGTGTGAGCTGTGCCAGATGCTGGTATCGAGCTAACGGCCTTTGGCAGTATATTAAGCAGATCACACAAGGAACATGAATCTTTGAAAATTCAGAAACGTTTGCCAGTTAAATAGATTTAGGTATTTAACGGGTAATTTTTGATAACCTTCCTAATGTTTTCTTCTTTGATATTTATTTATTTGAAAGGCAGCGAAAGAGAGAAGCGGAAACAGAGTAAGGGATTTTCTATCTGCTGGTCCATTCCCACATGACCAGAACAGCTGGGTCTGGTGCAGACCAAAGCCGGGAGCCTGAAGTGCCACGTCTCCAATTTGATGTCAAGGACCCATGTACTTGGGCGCTTCTCTGCTTTTCCAGGCACATCAGCAGGCAGCTGGACCAGAAGCAGAGAAGCTGGGATGCCAACCTGTGCTTGCATAAAGCACAAGCAGTGGCTTTATCTTCTGTGCCAGAACGCCAGTCCCTCCAACTTCTTAAACCCCCTTTAATTTATGCAGCACTATAAATTTTCAAGTCTTTTATTTGAATTTTTAAAACATAACTATGCAATACTGTTTTCCCTCAATGCTTTCATATTCTAACTTCCAATGTTAGACTTTTCTTTCACTTTGAATCTATCCCTTCATGATAATTTTTTTTTTTTTGCACATAAATAATAAGCCCCTGCATTTGTCAACCTAGTTTTCATTCACAAACTTCTGCCTTTGTTACTTTCCTTTCCTCCTGCCTTCCTTGGAGCTGTTTCGCTTTTTTTTTTTTTAAACATATTAATTTCTTAGTTCATTTGGCTCCACTTTCCTTTTACATTTTTAAAAAATTTATTTAACAGGCGGGGAGCTCATCTGTGTGCAGGTTCCCTCCTCAAATGTCCACACTGGCTAGGGCTGGGCCAGGCTGACGCCAGATGCCAAGCCGGGTCTCTCACTTGGGCCGTCACTGCTGTCTCCAGAAGGTGCCGGAAGCTGGACCGGAGGCAGAGTTGAGACATCAGCTCGGACAGCCCGAGAAACGCAGCCCAAGTGGCACTGTCACTTCCGGGACAACCACCCACCCAGGTTTCCATCTGTCACTACTAACAACAAAACATGATGTAAATGTAAGCTTGCTATCACAGCCTGCAACCTGGAATAAAACCATCTATATATCTGTAGGAAAACTGGTGGAATGCTAACAAAAGCCGTAGCATAGCTGTCTTAGGATGCTTATGTCGTAATTAACATGGGTTATCCACGTGGTTAGCGGCACCGGAGACTAGCGATTCCCTGGGCGGTCTCTGTAACTTTCCCTTAGACCTAAATTACTCCCGAAGAGTCAGTCAGAATCTTTCCACGATTATGTAACTTCAGCTCTGGCAACGACGCTAGGTTCTGAAACATGTCATTCCCATTCCTGAACATCCCAAGTAATTTTCCAGACTCTGTATCACTCATTCCGAGTTGTCCTGAGCACAGCGGTCTTAAGTTCCCCGCACTACAAAGAATGCACCGGCAGAAGTGACTGCACAAAGCCCGCATTCTAGAACACGAGGTTCTTCTTTGTGGCCTAGATTCCTTCCCCCCCCACCCCCCCACTGACAATGACTTCTGAAGTATTAAGTGTGCGAGTGTTTCAGTAGAGACGTGGGTATGGAAAGAGGGTACGTGGTAACGTGTTGGTAACAGCTTTGTCCCTGTACCACAGGGGAGTCTGGGAGAACTCTGCAGTCTTTGAGGACCGCCGGCAGGACCTCACCAGCTGCTGCTCCACGGGCGGCGGCACGTCCTGGTTGGCATAGACGATGGCAGGGTTGTACAGACTGAACACCACGGGGTAAAACACCTTCTTCCCTACAAACCAAAGAGACGTGCTTATGTCACGCAGCTTAGTTCCAAACGAGGGACTGATTTGCACACGCTGTCTACAAGGGCCTCACTGAGCCTTTCTTAAAATGACATAGGATGATGTTTAGCAATACTGCATTTTATTGATACTCAGGCTATGAGGTGTCTTATCAATTTCATGAATCGGACAGCGACTTTAAAAAACATGCCAGGTCAGACTAGGAAACTACAGCTTGGCAAGCAGAGAGAGAAAAAGACTCCAGGACAATTCACCCGTGCATTGCCCTTGACTTTGGACAGACAGGGCAAGACATTCCCTCAGCTGTTCAGCAGATGAGCCACTTTTTATTTATTATTCCAGCTAATCAGCGCTAACAGATGTAGATTAATTTTCTGGCAATCACCAAGAAACTTAAAATTTGTGTTAAATTCATCCTTCAAAAATCCATCATCAGAAAGAGGAAATCCAAGGAATATCACACAGCTCGTAGATATGCAGGGAACTGCACTGACTGGAAGAGCTGGGGCAGATGGGTTAGAAACCTCGAAGGCGACAGACCCTGCAGATGGCCCTGCTGTCAGCACCGAGGGGCCTGGCAGGCCACGGGCCATCGCCTTCCACGGTGAAGCCCTTGCCAGGACTGGCTCCCGTCAGGCTTCTGAGCCACGCGGGGGAGTGGGAGCCACAGGGCCGTCTGTACTGCAGGTCCCAGGCAGATGCTCAGTCCACCTTCATCAAACCCACTGAGGAATGCAGACTTCAGTTTCCCAGGGGCAGAGTATTTGCAAGATATGAACAGTTAATTTATTAAAACTATTTACTATGAAATTTTTTTAAAAACCTGATTGTAGACAAAAATTGTACATATTTAAAGCATACAACATGCTTTGATAACATGTATATAACATGACATGAACCAAGTGAATCAGCATAGTCATGCTTTCTCATACTTCTCGCTTTCTTGACATATTTAGCAATTTCCAAGCATACAACACAAAATTACTAACTGCGGTCACTACACTGCACAACGGCTCTCCTGAAATTATTTTTCCTGTTGAGATTCCTTCACATGGAAAACTTTTCTGTATTTAAAATCTAATTTGATGTCTCAAAATGTCACTTTTATTAAAAATAAAATCCGCGACATAAGGTGAAATGGCAAAGCACTGCAAAATGCAGAGTCTGGAGGTTAAACGTTGTCTGCACTGAGACACGTGTGTGTGTGTGTGTGTGTGCGTGTGTGTGTGCCTGCCCACGCGTGCACCCAGCAGAGCACCAGCTGTCCCGGCCACGCAGTCTCACGGCTCCGCAGGGTCACACGGCTCTCCCTCTCATCTCAGCTGCTTCCTCCTCACCGAACTTAGGTTCTGCATAATACAACTAATTCCTCAGGGTTTAGCTGGCACCTGTTGTTCCCGAAAACACGCGACATGCCAACAGCACAGAATCCCAATTCTCTACGCGCCTCGTCCTCCCGAGTTTGATTACGCACCTGGCTCAGCATTTAACCGGCAGCTGTTAAGGAATTCGGCCGAGAAATAGATATCAACGTCACAGAAAAACATCAAGACCTCGCCCTGGTCCCACGCTCTGGCACCCACATTGAGTCCTCGTCCGCGGTTAAATTCTTCATTCAGTGAGATCAGGGTGTAATTGTGAAAATGAGACTCACTAAGAGGAAAACACACACAACAAATGGTAAGTCCCACCTGAGGCTAGTAATGCTTCCTTCAACGCGATTTGCGAGACGCTTTATGCTTGAAATCTCGCATTCTGATCCTCCATTCACACGAGAGGAAGCAGGGGCGCAGTCACTCTGGGGACAGGCATTCCCCAAAGGCTCGCAACTGAACAAGCACGCCGGTGGGCCGAGTGTGCAACATGCCGCAGGGCCACGGCCCTCTGGATGCGACACATCTCCTGAGCAAGTGAGAGACACACACGGCGCTGGCCAAGCACCTCCCCCACTGCAGAGAGCAAGCGTTTCGTGGTGTTCCTTTCTGTGGACACGGAGCCCCTCACAGGGCAGGAGCACAACAAATATTTGCTTAACGAATGGACGAGCAGTAGTTCTGAGACGCGGGGCTGCGCGCATGTGTGGAGTCGCTGGAGAAGATGTCACACGCGGGAGTAGGTACGGTGTCTTAGTTAACACCCTGGACTCCGTGGTGAGAGCAAAGCTCACGCTGAAGGCGAAGAGGTGAGAAAGCAGAGAGCGATGTCGGAGGCAGAGCCACAGAAAGGCGACAAGGGGGAGGGCGGTCGGAGCGAGAAGCCCTTCCCCGCGGTGACAGGGAGCAGTCCGTGGGGCTTCTGTGTCGTGGCAGTGATTCCTGTCACGCTCCCTGCTGGCCCCTCAACCTGAAGAGACGAGTGGAGCCACACCCCTGCATTCTAATACGCAGGTGCATGACAGTAAAATCTGGAGAAGCACTGCGTTGGGAGACGGATCCAAAGTGACGCTCCAGGAGCGTCCCTCTGCCAGCGGTACAAGATGGGTCAGACGGAGATGGGAGCGAAGGGTCCAGTGGCTCACGGACTCCAGGCGCTCCGCTGCCTGACCTCTCCAGCTTACGGAATGACAAGCCCGGAAGCTGCCCGAGGGAAGCTGCTCATCGCCACCCCGCGCACCCGGGACACGCCACCTGCGTTCTACCCACCCCCACCACGCTCATTCTCTAGAGGTGGGGACCGGGCTCAAGTGGGGCCAAGCACAATTACCCCCACCCCACCTGGCCATAGTGACTGGCTCAAGAGTGGGCGGGATGTCCTTCCCTGGAGCGGGGAGAAAAGCTCTTTCCTTTTTCTGATGGCAAAGCTGAGAAGATGTGAGCCCAAAGCCGCCAACAGCCACATCCCTCACCATGTGGGAGAAGCCATTCTGCAACAGGAGAATGCAGTCAACATGCCGAGAAAACAGACAAGAGAATCCTGCTGGGCATCAAGTCCCTGCCTGGGTTTTCGACCCCAGGTTTCGCTGTAACGATCGTTCTACTTTTGGAAGGCATCGAAGGTTCTCTCAAAGTGTTCCCGAATCCCTCAATCAAACCCGAGGTAGGTTCCCACCATCTGCTACGGAGGGATCTCAACAGGGCAGCGGGGACTTTAGGAACACCGGTGTGTGCAGGGCACGGTGAGGGCAGGGCAGCACGGGGGTGCGGAGATGAGAGGAGCTAGAGCTAGGGCGGTAGCAGTGGTGAGGAACCGACAGAGAGGATGGACCTTGGGCTGAGTGGGGACTGACTCCTCCGAGAGGGAAAAGCACAGGGGCTCATGACACGCGAGGGGCCGCGTGGAGCACGGGGGTGGGGGGTGGGGGGGGTGCAGACAGCGAGTGCGTGCAGGTGCCTCATCAGGGACTCGGATCACTCAGCTGCTGGACGCCCAGGCAGTGTGCCTGCAGCACAGCAGGCCAGGACTCTGGGACTGTTAGTAAGCTCCAAGACTGCCAGGCCAAGTCAGTTAGAGAGAGCCCACTCTAGCAGAGAGGCAGAGAAGCTGGTGAAGGCTACAGAGTTGGTGTGGTTACACTGTAACACGTTCACCTGGTTAGAATGTAATAGGTTCCAAACACAACAGGAAAGAAGCAATCAAAGAGAACAAGGAAGAAAAGGCTCAACCTGGCAGTTAGGTTATATCACTGGGCCCATAATTTAGGGATTAAAAAGTCTGAAAAGCTGAAGAAAGAATTAGTAATTAAGGAATTACTAATTCATTCATTCAAACCTCTGAGCGTGTGTCAGATACTACAGGGGTTCCTTAGTCACAGCTCGGGGGTCTGGTGAAGCTTGGCCACGGAACCACAGGCACACAACAGCAGGTCCTGGGTCCTCCAGTCAGCTGGGGGCTTCTCAAGTATAAGGGAGATGGGGAGGGGAAAGGAGATGGAGGAATGAGAAAGAGGTGGCGAGAGAGAGAGCGAGAGAGAGCAGCTCTGGAGACGGCATTAAAGTGGGAGAGCGAAGGCAGCAGCTAGCCGGCAGGTGAACGAGCCAGAGGAGGCATCCTGACCACGCCACACTGCACGCAGAGCAGGGCCACGTGAGTCAGGGAGGGCTGCATGGGAAATGGGGAACTTGTATCACCGCCGCCCACAAATTCAGGCAGCTCTTAAACAACTCATTAAATATCTGAAAAATCTCACTCCAGCAACGTTACACATCAAGGACTTCGCTGGGGGACCCGGCTCACCAACCTTGTAACAGATTCTAGGATGGACTTGACTTCAGATAGCCCTTCTTTACCAAAATACACTACTGTGAGATGGATCCTCTTGTCCTGATGAATGCAAACGTCCCTAACAGGATTCAAAACAAAACAAAACAAAACAAAACACAGTTGGTTTCAGCAAACTGATGAAATTAAAGCAATCCCATGAAGCTTTATCAAGACAATGAATGTGGCATCCCAGGTACTGAATGAAATCACAAGAGGTGCCGTGTCCATGTGCGGGTAGCGAAGGCTCCCGCGGCAACCCGTGGGGGCCCACGCGGCAGGCCCACTCTAATGCCACCCTCCACTTGAACAAGCTCGGTGCTGCTGCCTTGGGACTGCCTGCACAAGCAACCTACGGACCGTTCCAGGAAAAGCATTCTGTTAATTCAGAACCAGACAGTTTCTGGATCAATAGTTGTCTTAAGACTTGCTAGCCCCTCTCCCACCCAATTGACCATACCAATGGTCAGGGAATAAATACTCCATCGCTAGAGTTAATTTTTATAAAGAATAACGCAGCCTCTGAAAGCAATTACAATGACAAAAAAATGCCTTACAAGATTAGGTCTCAAACAGGTCTTCTACAGTTTGCTGCACAATAGCGTTAACCTTTTAAATGCAATAACTTTAATAACAGAATAGGATTAGTAAAACACTAGTTTTAATCACATTACAGTATCTAAAACATTAAAGATATTAAGGTGTTTGAAACATGAAAATTCTAAATAAGTACTACTGTTATTCAAATGCATTGTTGCTAATTCTTTAACATCTTAAAAACAATGTTTATTTATTTGTTTCATTTGTTTGAATGTAAAGCAAGAGAGAATCTGTTCCACCTGCTGGTTTGCTATATAAACGCAGGCAGCAGCCAGGAGCTTGCTCTCCAGTGAGGCCATCAAGTCATCACCTTTGTCTTCCGCAGGCATTAGCAGGGAACAACCCAAGTGGAGGTAGGACTTGACACAGGAGTGGGTGAAGCACAGCTGAACCCACTGGGTCACCAATGCCCGTCCCCAAATACCCAAATCCAACACACACACACACACACACACACACACACACACACACACACACACAAAACCTGTATAAAATCTGTTTCCCAAGATGGAATAATATCCTCTTATTTTAAATCAGGGTTTGCATTTCTAAATTTAACTGTTTTAAGAAGATGTGTTTATTTCATTTATTGGAAATGCAGAATAATGGGAATGGAGAGGGAGCGGAGAAGAAAGGGAGGGAGAGGAAGAGGAGGAGATGGAGAGAGGGAGAGGAGGAGAGGGAGAGCAGGAGAGAGAGAGGAGGAGAGGGAGTGAGGGAGAGGAGGAGAGGGAGAGGAGGAGAGGGAGAGGAGGAGAGGGAGAGGAGGAGATGGAGAGAGGGAGAGGAGGAGATGGAGTGAGGGAGAGGAGGAGATGGAGTGAGGGAGAGGAGGAGATGGAGAGGAGGAGATGGAGAGGAGGAGAGGGAGAGAGGGAGAGAGGGAGAGGGAGAGAGGGAGAGGAGGAGATGGAGAGAGGGAGAGGAGGAGATGGAGTGAGGGAGAGGGAGAGAGGGAGAGGAGGAGAGGGAGAGGAGGAGAGGGAGAGGAGGAGAGGGAGAGGAGGAGAGGGAGAGGAGGAGAGGGAGAGGAGGAGAGGGAGAGAGGGAGAGAGGGAGAGAGGGAGAGGAGGAGAGGGAGAGAGAGGGAGAGGAGGAGATGGAGAGGGAGAGGAGGAGAGAGAGAGGGAGAGAGGGAGAGGAGGAGAGGGAGAGGAGGAGAGGGAGAGAGGGAGAGGGAGAGGAGGAGAGGGAGAGGGAGAGGAGGAGAGGAGGAGATGGAGAGGAGGAGAGGGAGAGGGAGAGGGGGAGGAGGAGAGGAGGAGAGGGAGAGGAGGAGAGGGAGAGGAGGAGAGGGAGAGGAGGAGAGGGAGAGGAGGAGACGGAGAGGAGGAGAGGGAGAGAGGAGGAGAGGGAGAGAGGGAGAGGAGGAGAGGAGGAGAGGGAGAGGAGGAGAGGGAGAGGAGGAGAGGGAGAGAGGAGAGGAGGAGAGGAGAGAGGGAGAGAGGGAGAGGAGGAGAGGGAGAGGAGGAGAGGGAGAGGAGGAGAGGAGGAGAGGAGAGGAGGAGAGGGAGAGGAGGAGAGGGGAGGAGAGGGAGAGGAGGAGAGGGGAGAGGAGAGGAGGAGAGGAGGAGAGGGGAGAGAGGGAGAGGAGAGGGAGAGGAGGAGAGGGGAGAGGGAGAGGAGGAGAGGGAGAGAGGGAGAGGAGGAGAGGGGGAGAGGGAGAGGAGGAGAGGGGGAGAGGGAGAGGGGGAGAGGGAGGGGGGGAGAGGGAGAGGAGGAGAGGGGGAGAGGGAGAGGAGGAGAGGGAGAGAGGGAGAGGAGGAGAGGGGAGGAGGAGAGGAGGAGAGGGAGAGGAGGAGAGGAGGAGAGGGGAGAGGGAGGAGAGGGAGAGGAGGAGAGGGAGAGGAGGAGAGGGGCAGAGGGAGAGGGGGAGAGGAGGAGAGGGAGAGGAGGAGAGGGAGAGGAGGAGAGGGAGTGAGGGAGAGGAGGAGAGGGAGTGAGGGAGAGGAGGAGAGGGAGTGAGGGAGAGGAGGAGAGGGAGTGAGGGAGAGGAGGAGAGGGAGTGAGGGAGAGGAGGAGAGGGAGAGGGGCAGAGGGAGAGGAGGAGAGGGGCAGAGGGAAATCTCTTTCATCTACTGGTACACTCCCCACATGCCCACAACACCCAAATGTCTGCAACAGCCAGGGCTGAGCCAGGGTGACAGTGGGAACCAAGGACCCTGTCTTGGCCTCCCCCGTGGGTAACAAGAGGCCAGACACTTGGGCCATCACCTACTGCCTTGCCAAGGTGTCAGCAGAATGCCAGCTCCAGCTCTCAACCAGCACTCCGACATGGATGCTGGCTTCACGGTGGCGATCTAACCTACTGCACCGCAACACTGCCTCCTTAGTTTAATTTTAAAACTCAGGCTGTCCTCGAGGAGAGCTTCCTGGGAGAGAGTCATGTTCAAAATCTAACCCAGTCACGTCAGTGGGTTGTGGGTTCCTATCTGTCAAAAGCCATACAAATATCCTTCAAAATATGTAGATTTTGTTGCATGCAAATTATGCTTCAATAAAGCTTTTTAAAAATCCGACTTGCCCTAAAACTCATTCACACACAATTATATTCTAACACTTGTCCCCCTCAATTCATTGCATCGTTGAAACTGGTGATAACAAAATATACATGTTTTAAGGGGGGGGGGGAAGAGAGAACTTGAAAATACAAAGTTCTTTCAAAGCCTATGCAATTATTGCGCAATTCTAAGGACTCATACTCAGTGAAGATATATAAAGCAGATGTGCATGCAACGTGATTTGTAGCCGGATCACCACGGGCTGGCATTTACCTGAAGTTCTGCATGAACTGAGCGAATGCTTCGGTCCTCTCGGCAAGCGGCACAATGATATTGATAACTGACCTGGCAATGTCCATCATCTCGCTCTTGACTTTCATGAGGGGTCCGAAGGGGCGGAAGAGGGTCACGTGTCTGTATTCCAGAAGGTCTGCTTTCTTAAAAAAAAGCTCGTACTGTGTGCCCTTGTCTCTCTCGGTGCGGTAATAGCCTACAGGGGACAGTTGGGAAGCAAGACGTCTCCATGTCAAAATTGATACAGCCAACGGAAAGACGGCTTCCCTTTCCGCTACTGACAAAATGGCCACGCCAGACTTGTAGAGTTTTGACCTTCTTGTGAAATTTTTGCTCCCACAGCACAGCTACAAACAACTGTCCCTTAGCAGGCTGGAATGAATGTCCACTGCCCTGCTACTCTACGCAGATAACTACTAATTTCATAACCTTTTTTTTTTTTTTCTGTTGCAAACAGAAAAGTTTATTTGCGAAGGGACCAGGGAGCAGGGAAGGGAAGGGAAGGAAAGGGAAGCACCTCCGAAAGAGAAGCCGGGAGGTGGGGTGCTCTCGAAAGAGGAGGGAGAGAGAGATTGCAAAGTCAGATATACAGAGAGGAGGAGAGACAGAGAGGAAGATCTTCTGTCTGATGATTCACTCCCCAAGTGAGAGCAACAGCCGATGCTATGCCGATCTGAAGCCAGGAGCCAGGAACTTCCTCCAGGTCTCCCACGCGGGTGCAGGGTCCCAAGGCTTTGGGCTGTCCTCGACTGCTTTCCCAGGCCACAGGCAGGGAGCTGGATGGGAAGTGGAGCTTCTGGGATTAGAACCGGCGCCCATATGGGATCCTGGCACGTTCAAGGCGAGGATTTTAGCAGCTAGGCCACTGCGCCGGGCCCTCATAACTGTTTTAACCATTACTACTTTTAATTATCTTCTAAGGTCAAAGGATAATTACTACTTTTTACATGACTGAAAACAACAGCGGAGACCATCAGCCCTGTAGTCACATGACAAATTCCTGGTCGCAAAATTCAATTTTTAACACAAGAGCCCGAATGAACTTCTACTGCTTGGTGTCACCAACTTTCCAAAGTTTCTGAGAAAGGGACAGTCTAGGGAGGGAGACTGCCAAATAATAACAATTTGGTAATTATACACCCAGAATGGAATGGAGGCTAATCAAAAAAATACCAGTATAGTGGTCGGAGATGCCGTTGGGAGAGAAGGACAGACAGCTGCTGGGCGTTCTGATTCCTTTCTTCTCTTTTTTAAAATTTTTATTTTGAAGTGTTATTTCAGTTTGGAGTCTTATGGTACAAGGGTGTTCTGATTTCCTAAGCGTGAGCCTCAGGAGACACGCCTGCACCCAGAGATAGGCAAGCCATTACATCAGCATGCGGAACTCAAACAGCTAACACCCTCCCCAACCCCCGGAGCTTTCAGCCCAGCAGGAACTAGAAACCAAGAAGCCAGCCGTGCCACATACTGAAGCTAAGAGACAGGAAGCTGTGTGGAGGTGACAAGAGCACACAGGAAGCACTGCTATCTTAAGACTTGAGGGTGGGGATGAATTCCGGGAGCAAATGCATCCCCAACTGACGTCTGGAAGAGAAATGGGAGTCGCTCGGCGGCTGCCAGTGACCGTGCCGGGGTACAGGGAAGAGGCGTGGTCAGGGGAGGTGTTCCATGCAGGGGGGAAACCTCCAAAGAGAGAGTTCGAGATGAGTGAGAAGCTAAGCAAAGGCTGCACAAGATGAACCTGGCACAGCTTCCTCTTTGCGCGCGGGGCATTTTACGTGTGCCAGTTATCTGATTTCCTCTCAAGTTTTCAATTCCGCCAGAAAGCTACAAACACATAGAGGCAAAAAGCTGATCTTGCAGAAAAATGAGAGGAGTTTTGAGGGAAACAATCCATCAGAGTGAGAGTGCAGATAAAGGAGGGACCACAGGGGAAGAATCGGCTGACACGCCAAGGCCGAGCACAATGCCCCCCCCCCCCCCGTGGCCCCCAAAGACGGCTGCGCGTCACACCACGAACAGCCTGGCTAAAACCAAAACCCCACAGCTTGTGATGCACTGCCGACGGAATCGAGCAAGGGGCACTCTCAAGGCTGCAATCACCCATCTAGCAGGGGGGCGTGAGAGGACAGTGAGCATCTATACTTATTTTTGGTTACGTCAATCCACAAATACGGCAAACGGACAGCAGTGTCCTTCGGTCTCTGAGTCACGCTCCAGCCTGATATATAAAAAGACCCTGTACCATTTCCACAGAATATATCAGGAAAATATATTATTTCCTTACTTTTCTCAAAATGTCCAATATGCAAAATTTATGTGTGCAACCTGATGTTGAGTGTGCGCCTCTCCTTCTTGCGGAGTGAAAGCAAGCACTAGGCTGCTCACTTCTTTAGCACGTGTTTCTCACATTTTCAGCCTTACTGCCTCCTTTTTTTTTTTTTTTTTTACAAACATAACAGAGGGCTACTGAGACCACTTAGGAGAGGAATGCAAATCAGACACATGCAAATGAGCACACAGCCCACCAGAGCCCTTCCCTTCGGCCTCAGTGGTCAGGGCTCCTGTGGATCAGCTTTCATTTATTCTGTTTCCCTGGTCCTTGACTGTCTATTTTTCCTACGATCTCCTCACAACCCCTCCCCGCCGCCTCCCACCCATGAGCCAGTACGAATTCTTGGCGGATCGCAGTGGGTGAAAGCCTTCATGCTTTCGCAGTGTGGCTAACGGCGGGCTGGTGTTAGCAGCAGCACGCAGTCCGTGCTGTGGGACACCTTTCACGTTACCTTCTACGAAGTCGTTCTCACTGAAGGACGGCTTCTCCCCGAGGGGACCCTCCTCCTCTTCCTGCTGCTCATCTTCCTCGGGGTTGTTAATGACCTCCACGCCAGCTTCAATCACTTCCACCAGTTCATCTCGTTTGTCTTTCCTCACCGGCTTCTCTTCAGGGTGGCGAGTGAGACCCATTTCCAGCTGAAACACTTTCATCAAGGTAAAGCTTTCGAAGGGCACGACCCCGTACTCGCTGGGCAGCTTGGCTCCCACGCTAACTTCCGCCTTGTCGATCTGGGAGTGGAGGAACTCCAGGAGGTCCCCAGGGGCTGGCTCTTTGTTGCCTTGGTAACCTAAGCCGTTGGCCCCTCCGCTTCTCTTCTCCTGCAGCGATCTCATCTTCTGGCTCATCTCCTGCAATTCCTGCTTCAGCTGGGCGATCTGGCGCTTCAGGCTGCTTGCCCGGGTTTGATAATGCTCTTCTTGCTCCTGCAGGAGGGCTTGATAGTATTCCTTACCGTAGGTCTCTCCGACCGCGCCAGGAAGAGACGCGTTGCCATCCGTCTGGGGGGCACATTCCAGCAGGTACACGAATAACACCAGGGTGCAGAGCAAAGCGAGGCCCAGCAGCAGCCAGTGGGTCCGCGTGTGCAGCAGCAACGCCCTTCTAGGCATTCTCAGCAATGTGTGCTTGCCTGGCAAGATCAACTCGCTGCCTGCTCATACCTTCGGCAAGAGGTGGTGGAAAAGGAAGGAAAAACCGGGATTTCCATAAAAGGTACTAAAAGGAATTCTGTTGGGATACGAAAAGTGTCTTCAGTGGTCATGACTTTTTGCAGAAATGGGAAATGCTGTATACTTCCTGTGTTGTTTCCATGACATCCAGAACCAAGCAATCTCCTTGGCAAAATCCATTATGTGGTGACTTTTCTGGAAAAAAAAAAAATAGACCAATAGCAATCAGAATGCTGTGTCCTTGATTTTATGTACATAAAGTTGTTGGCAGCTATGAAGCTAGACATACAAAATATCATGAAAAGTAATAATATCATTCAGGTGTTGCGAGAAACCATTAAGAGAAATGTCTTATGGAATATTGAAGTGATACATGCAATACTTTTTAAGCAGCGTATCCACACAAGCAAACCCTTCTGAAGGAAAGGACATTAAAGTTGTGTTCAGAGTGGCTTGTGTTATATAGATTCTCCTGTTTGCTAATGATTGAAAATGAAACTGCTCGTGACTCTTTATCAACATACTATTTCCAGTAACGCACCATTTGCCAACTAAAGCATATGACCGCTTAGAAACCGAATCTCTAAAAATGTTTCTGTTAGAGTAATGAGTCAGTGAGATATTTTCTTTCCGTTTCTTCAAATCAAACATGCTACCTCATTAATTTCTATTGCCCAACTCAGCCAATATAGCAGCCTTAAAATGCAGTAGGAGCAGAAGCGATTTCATAAGGTCGCAGACATCTGGAAAACACACTGAGAAAACATTGTTGCAGCCAAAGTCCTCCAGTAGATTATTGGAGCATGAGATCACGCAGTTCTTTCCATGGTACTACACAGCAGCAGGTTTTCTACAAGCCTGGAAAGGTTGTAGTCTTTATAAGGAAAAAGGAACATTTTAATCGTATCTATCTGCAGCAAAATAGATCATATCAAAGCCTTTAATAAAGTCACAAGATGACATGTTACCTTTCATCCTGCAACCAACTCTGCGACTCTGCTATGGCTTTTTTATTGACACTCTTGTATCAATCTTACTTTGAGACATGATTTTGAATGAATAAAGGCATGCATGTTTAATCAGACTCAACTCAAACTCTCTCGGAGTGCAATCTGGTAAGAGAACTCCCAGTGTAAAATCTAGGTAGCATTATCTGACATTAATGGAGAACTTGGTATCTCATGTATTTGAAACTCATGAATGAGTGGCTACTGAAAGTTTATTTCCAATAAAACGTAACAGGAAATGCCAGCATGAATTGCATCCAGTGGTTTTGTGATTTTATAAGGATGCTTCAAAAAGTTTGTGGGAAAAGAAAAGGTTAAGCTTATTTTGGTGCAAAAATTTCAAAATCGGTGCGTCGTTTTTTTCACGAGCATCTTGCATGAACTTTTTGATGATCCTTTATTCAAGGACTGCAAAAATTTTCGCACCAAAGTAAACTCCTTTCAGTTCCATTCTCCCAGAAGCTGTAAGTTCCCCTATGTATATTAACCAGATCTTTGTGTAAAATGCATTTAACTTGTTTTTACTACCAAAAAAAAAAAAACCCTGGAAAAACACCAGTGTCAAAAATTATTTTCTAACACATTTTAAGCAAGCCCTCAGGGACTGCAGGGTCAGCTTCATTCAGCTGTAAGCACTCAGTGGCAGCATTGCAAGCCAGGCCACTTGTTTCCCCCCTTCCTTAAGCAAGACGCAGCTTTGAGATATCTTCCGTGCTACTTAATGTTAGAACTGAACAGTTTCCACTGAAATCAAAGAAAAGCTCCAAATGATTTCAGGATGTAAATATTGGTTGCATAGCTTTGTGTCTGTTAAAAAAAGGTGTCAGTGAAAATCTTCTTAGTTCCTGAAAGAAACTCTTTAGCTACACCCTAGGAGACAAAGTTAGGACAGCTGTAAAGATACCAAGGATACTGGACAAAACACCCATTTTCTCTGCTGTCACCTCTTCAGCACCAGAAGTCTATGTGTGTGTGTCACAAGTAAGGTATTATTCAGAACCCACAGTTAATCCTGACCAACTTTCTAATTCTGAATTGACAGCTAAGTGATTTTAAAAAATATTATTATGGGGCCCAGCGCGATAGCGTAGTGATTAAAGTCCTCGCCTTGCACGCCCAGGATCCCATATGGGTGCTGGTTCTAATCTTGGTGGCCCCGCTTCCCATCCAATTCCCTGCTTGTGGCCTGGGAAAGCAGTGGAGGACGGCTCAAAGCCTTGGGACCCTAGGATTGTGTGAGAAACCTGGAGGAAGCTCCTGGCTCCTGGCTTGGCTCCAGCCGATGCGGCCACTTGGGGACAGAGGATCTTATCTCCTTCTTGTTGTATGTTCGTCTCTCTGTACATCTGCCTTTCCCATAAAAATAAATAAATCTTTTTTTTTTTTAAGTAACACAAAATCAAAGATCACATAACTGGAAGAAACTTTACAAGCCATTAAGTCTAACTTTCTAAAACAGGTTATTACAGCTAATATAAAATAAATGAATCAGACTTAATCATGCTTGAAACAACAAAAATACTCCACATTCATTACCAAAATTCCCAAAGCAACAGTTTTCAAAATACAGAACATGTGGTAACAAAGGGCTATGACCTCCAGTGACGGGCCGGCAGATCTGGAGTGGACAGGAAGGAGAAAGGGCAGCTAAGGGTACTGTACCCGAGAGGGGCCGACCACACAGAAAGCCGACGCGAGAACTCTGCGGTAGTCAGGATGGACTGACTCGTGTCCGCTTTGGAGGAAGTGAACAAGCCGAGCAAAGGACCTTCCAAGTGAACAAGCCGAGCAAAGGACCTTCCAGCAACTGGAGGACTCGGAGCTCATCCAGGGCCTGGAACAGCGCCTGTTCCGCCAGACGGGAAAAAACCTCACTTTTCATGAAGCATTGGGGAGAGTGTTCAAAAAGTCAAACCTCCGTAGTGGGAAATAATTAGCTCCAGACTAAAGATTTGTTTTTATTGGAAAGGCAGATTTATAGAGAGAAGGACTGAGAGAAAGATCTTCCATCTGCTGGTTCCCTCCCCAAATGGACTCAATGGCCGAAGCTGAGCCAATCTGAAGGAGGGAGCCAGGAGTCTCCTCCAGGTCTCCCACATAGATGCAGGGGCCCAAGCACTTGCACCATCCCATCCCCTGCTGCTTTCCCAAACTGTAAGCAAAGAGCTGGATTGGAAATGGAACAGCCGGGACACAAACCGGCGCCCGTATGGGATCCCTGCGCTTGCAAAGGGAGGGTTAGCCAACTGAGCCACCGTGCGTGGGAACGCAGAGAAGTCCAGCACTCCACCCAGTGCGATTCACACTCTCTGACGTCTTAACAGAAACCACTGGGCAGAAACAATCTGGCCCATCAGTGGGGGGAAATCAACTTCTAAAACAAACCTGGAGCTGAAGCAGGTGTTGGAACGCTCATGTTCAAAAAATGACAGTAACACAGATGAACACGCAAAAGATCAAATTAAACTCCAACACATGAAAAATGATACACTGGATAAAGGTAATAACAACTTCTATATTTCAAAAGACAGTAAGTATTAGGGGACCAAGATTTAGCACAAGGAAAAAAGAAGGAAAAATGTGAAATGCGCACCAGTAAACATTTTGACAACTTCAGAGCAGCTAACAGATCACTCACAGGAATCCACAAAGAGGCGGAGTCAGAAGCAATCTTTAAAAGAATAAGGCTGGGGCCCGGCACGGTGGCGCAAGTGGTTAAAGGTCCTCGCCTTGCACGCCCGGGATCCCATATGGGCGCCGGTTCTAATCCCGGCAGCCCCGCTTCCCTTCCAGCTCCCTGCCTGTGGCCCGGGAAAGCAGTCGAGGACGGCCCAAAGCTTTGGGACCCTGCACCTGCATGGGAGACCCGGAAGAGGCTCCTGGTTTCGGATCGGCATAGAATCGACCGTTGCGCTCACTTGGGGAGTGAATCATCGGACAGAAGATCTTCCTCTCTGTCTCTCCTCTCTGTACATCCGCCTTTCCAATAAAAAAATAATAAAAATAAATCTTTAAAAAAAAAATAAAAAAAATAAAAAAAAAAGAATAAGGCTGAAAATTCCCCAAATGCAATGAAAGCTATCAACACACAGATCCTGGGGGTGGGGGGGAACCTCTTTCGTGCCAAAGGCGATCTGAATATTTACAAAATCATTCCTGTAACATTAAAAGTGACCCACCTAAAAATTAGCCTGCGATGTATATATACTGAATTTTGAGTGCCACCTGCAGTAGCCTTGCCAACGCCAGATCCAATCACATTACAGGCCTTACAGAGCCAGGGGGCCAGAAGTGTCCCTCCGGGCCCTAATACAGACTTAAGAAACTCAAGGAGACCCAAATCCAACCGTCTTGAAACAAGGCACAAGAAAATTAAACTGCTTGAGCTAAACCCTGACCTTAAATGCACCAGGATCCCATACAGGTGCCGGTTGGTATCCCGGCTGCTCCACTTCCCAAGCCTTGGCACCCTGCACCTGCATGGGAGACCCAGAGGAAGTTTCTTGCTCCTGGCCTCAGCTCGGCTTGGCTTTGGCATTAGGGCCACTTGCGGAGTGAACCAACAGACAGAAAATCATTCTCTGTAAATCTGCTTTTCCAAAAATAAAATAAATCTTTTAAAGAAAAAGAACTTGAGGGAAAATATGCCAACCTAGACTTATACAACGAGAAAAAAAAAACATCACTGAAAACACTTCTTCAGATATAAGAAGCTACCTGTTAACTGCCATCAACAGGTCATGCAGGCAGAAGGAAACGACCCCAGAGAGAACAGAGGTCCACACCAAACAATGGTCGCTGCCCTCTGTTACTGTAAGAATCTTGCTATTGCCTACATTTCTTTAAAAGGTTAACTGAGCAGAATGGACTAATTTCCCAGAAAGATACACTTAAGGAAATAGACTGAAAAATAAACACTAAATTTGAATAGATCTCAATGAGAGATCGAATTAGTAATAAAAAAAGCTAGCACCAAACAAACAAACAAATAAATAGAGATGGCTTCCCTGGGACATGACAATAAGTAATACATAAAACAATAAATCAATTCTTCACCAACGCTTCCAAAAAAAACAGAAGAGAAGGGAAAGTCTCAGGTCGTTCTGTCATCCTAACACAACAAAGACATTACAGGAAAACCACAGACCACCATTCCACGTAGACCAGGATGCAAAACCCCTTAAAAAC